AGTATTTTAAAATTATTCCTGGACAATCAAAGCAGTTACGGTCAGACCCGACAAAGAACTTTGACAATTGACCTTTCACCCACAATGTGGAACATCTTTTATATCAAAATTACCGGATCGAAATCGATGAAAGCATTATTCTGTATGATTGACTGTTACAGAATCAGTAGCATGAAAACTATACACATTTTAATCTGCCTTAATAGCGTTGATCGGTTAAAAATTTTAGAATATATCGTATACTACATTTGCAGGGGTCCACCTTTGACATGCGCTCAAATACCACTGAGCTAAGTGATCAACCCTTTTCTTCTGTCCTATTAATCACAAACTTAAATAGCTCAAAGTATCATCTTTCTAACGGAATCTAGTGTAGTATAATCACACTTATGGAACGCAAGTTGCAGATCGCTAAAGCCATCTGTTCAAATATAATGGATTGGCTTTTATCTAAGAAATTTAGGCATTGAAGTGTGAAAGAAATAATTACGTTGAAAATGATCTTATGTTAATTTAATCCCATACTCATTGCCAACTAGTTCTGAATTAGTTCGACACTAGTATTGCAAACATTCCGAACTCATACCAATAGAATATAAGTAGAATATTTATGTACCTTGGAAAGATCTCAAAATGTTTTAAAGCAATTCGGCAATCTTCCAGAATCGATCGTGGAATATTACTCAGTTATTTTCTTTCCGGTTGAGCTTTACTTCATATGTGCTACACCGTGTTGATTCCAAATCCGAAGCGGTTGCAAACTTGAATTAGGCTCTTATGATCCTGAAATATTCGGAACTAATTTCGGTATTGTCTACAAAAATGCATACGGCGCATTTATAAGAGCGAAAACAGTTCAAAAATAAACTCACAACGCAACAAGCGGTTATAAACCAAAAAATTAACCGATAACTGATACCAAAATGAAAATAATCGTGGTTTCAAATAGCGAAATAATTCTCAGATAGTCTAGGTCGATACTTAAGACGGACTTATTTCAGAACGATCTTAAAGTAATTTTGATTTTGTACCAGTCAGGGAAATAGTTCTTGATTGGTTCCGTGCTAAAATTCGAATTCTTATTTGAAGGAGCATCCACCCTGATCTGATATCAAATTAGTTTCATAGCAATATCCAAATAATCCTGAGCTGATCTCAACTATATTCGGTGTTTTAAAGACATGATAGTAGTTTTGAACTAAATATTTACCTTTAACACAAGAGTATTCCTGAATTAATGCAGAATATGTGGTACTAATCTAATGATAGTCAAGAACTTGTACCCAAACAGTCGTTTATTAGTTTCAAACTATTTTTGAAACAATAATTAAATAATTTAGTCTGTAAGTAATCAAAAATCCTCATCCGAAAATTCATTTCTCTTGAATTATTGTATACATTCCATGTTATAGTAAAAAAATGTTTTTAGAGTTATCATTAGTACATCCATTTCTGGCTCTCCCTTCGTTATACATGCGTATTTACATTGCAGGTGTTACAATAATGAAAATAAAACATTTAGAAATCTGCCCCTTGGTGGCTGTCTGCGTTCGCCTGGCGCTTTATTGCGTCAAAAGTCCTTTCACACGCTCAATGAGTTGACTCGCTTCTGTCAGACAACCAGTTGCGATGGCCGCGCGGCAAGAGCGTCGAAAAAGGCACAGGCGCGAGCAGGCACAAACGCGGGTAATGGTAAGGAGTAAAATACAATATGTGAATTGTACAAGGGTAGAGGAATGGAGTCGGTTGAATGGGCGCTCAATTCACCAGCCTCGCAAAAAAGCTAAAAAAAAAATGAAATAAACATTCAAATCACTCTAATTAAAGCACTCACAAGTCGATACATCACATTCATACATTCACATCTTTTTTTTGAATTGAAGTCATATTTTCTGCAAAATTTTACATTTTCCTACTCATTTACATGCATATCAAACAATTCATTGGAAAAATGGGTATGCCTCGCTGCATCGGGTGATGAAGAATTTTATATTTAATTGGGTATAGCAACCGCTTCAGCTCAATTGAATAACTCATTGAATACATACATACAAACACGAATATACCCATACACACATGCTTACACATATATACATATAATACTTGGCATATTTGTAAAGTAGATATACAACCATAAAGTATTTGCTTAATTACAAATAATCAACTAAATAAAAATCTTTAAAACTAAGATAAACAAACCGGCAATTCCGAAGCTACATTCATACTCACATCGAAACACAATCGCTGGGGAAAATATGTTAGATTTTACTTTTACGACTGGGTTTAAATACATTTCACACTCTTCGAAATTAGAAAAGTTCAATGAATGCACTTGAAATAAAAAATCCAAATTAAATAAACTTAATAAACTAAACAAAATAAAATAGATTAAACTAAAGTTAAATTAAATAAAAAGGTTAAATAAAATGAAGCAAAATAAATTTAAATAAAACTAAACAAATAATATATATACAATAATAATAAAACCAAATTAAATTATAATTAAATGAAATTATATTAATTTAAATAAAATAGATTTAAGTAAAATAAACTTAAATAATGTAAAATCAAATCAAATCAAATCAAATCAAATCAAATCAAATCAAATCAAATCAAATCAAATCAAATCAAATCAAATCAAATCAAATCAAATCAAATCAAATCNATACAGAATAAAATAGAATAAAATAAAAGAAAAGAAAATAAAAATAAAATAAAAGAAAAGAAAATAAAAATAAAATAAAATAAAAAAAAATAAATTAAAAAAAAATTAAAATAAAATAAAATCAAATAAAAAATAAATAATATAAAACAAAATAAATTAAAATAAAATAAAATGAAACAAAAAAAGAAAAAATAAAATAAAAAAAATTAAAAACAATAAATATTAAAAGTAAAATAAAATAAAAAAATTAATTAAAACAACGATTAATTAAATTTTGTAAAAAAAAAACCAGAAAAATTATATTTATAAAAGTAAAGTTACAAAACAATATAACAACATAAAATGAATTATAATAAACTAAAATGAAAATGAAATAAAACAGAATAATATAAATTGAAAAAATAAAATAATATAGATTAAAAAAATTTTATTTAATAAAAAAGTTCAATAAATTAAAATAAATAAAAATAAAATAAAACAAAATTAATTTAGCTAAAATAAATTAAAACAAATTTTAATTAAATAAAAAATGTGAAAAGTAATAAAAACCAATTATATATAATGAAATTAAAAAATTCAAAATAAGATTAAATTAAACAAAATAAAGTAAAATAGATTTGAATAAGATAAAATAAAGTTGCATTAAAAAATTAAATAAAATAAGATGAAAATAAAGTAAAAAAATTAAATAAGAAAATAAAAAAAATTAAATGAAAAAATTCAAATAAAATAAATTAAAAACGGAAAATAAAAAATTAATAAATGAAAATAAAATTGATTTAAATTAAATAAAAAAATTAAATAAAGACATAAATTAAAAAATTTATATAATTAAGTGTAAATAAAATTAAGTAAACCAAAATACGATAAAATGAAATCAAATAAGAAGTAGAAAAATAAAATAAATCAAATAAAATAAAACTCAATTATAAAAATTAAGTGATATAAATTAAAATCACATAAAATAAAAAGAAACAAATTAATTAATTAATAGCAAAACAAATTAAAATAAAATTAAATGTACTTAAGTAAAATGAAATAGAATTTATTACAATAAAAGAAATAAATTATTATAAAATTAAATAAATATTATAAAATTAAAATTAAAGAAAAAATCAATTTAAAGAGCATTAAATAAAATAAATCAAAATAAAATTTAATTTAAATAACTTTAAATAAACTAAAACTACATAAAGTACAATAAAAAAAATAAAATAAGAGTCAGTAAGGTTAAATACATAAAAAAAATTCAACTAATCAAATAAAATGAAATAAAAAATAATATTATAATGAGATAAAATGAAATAAGTAAAAGGATAAAATTCAATAAATGAAACAAAATAAAATAATTGAAAAGAAAAAAATTTATTAAAATTTTGACTTAATGGTTAGCATCAATGAAATATTATAACTTGATTAAATTTTCTTGCTTGTTTGTTGGACGACAAGATTAGTCAATTCGTAAAATCAACTCTGACTACAATAATCTAGTTGAATAATATAGTTATATATATAGTTGAATAAATAAAATGAAAAAGAAAAATAAGAAGTTTCGTTCTTTTAGGTTTACCCTCACCTAAAATAACCAAATTTCTTATTGAATATTTTTTTTAAGTAAACAGTAAATACTGCTAAAGTTTTCTGACCAGATTTACGATTAATCAGAAGATTGTTAATTAATTGATGGTTTATTTTTTAACTAATAAAGTTTATTTGATCAATTTAATTTCATAATGTATTAATCATTTTTGTTAAATAATAAAAAAAAAAAACAATTGAATGATTATTATTTTTTTTTTTTTAAGAAAATTTTCAATAATTTTATTAATCGCACATTCGCTACTGATATGAATACGCTTACGAATTACGCTTGTATTTATATTACGCTTTGGACTGGTTCTCTTACTTACAAAACAAAACTGTTTTTCTTCGCTTTATATAATATAAAAAATTTTAGCGTTTCTTTATTTCATTGTTAAAAAAAAATACGCGGCTTGATATTCATTTTTTTGGCTCCTTCGGCGGTTCTACCAGGTGTTGGTTTCGGCTTTTCTCCAAACCTTTCATTACTTCTTTTTCCCCTTTTTAATGTATTTTATTTACTACTCTACTTATTTGATTATTTATTTACTTTGTTATCAAAATTAGCTGTTTTGATTTTCATTTTTTTATCATCTCACAAAGCTAATTTTTTCATACATACATATATATACAAATATTGCATAATATAATTTTGATAATTTTATTTTTTATATTTGTATTTGTTTCTTTTTTCTTTATTTTCCATTATTTCTTTGTCTCGTGAACTACTCATTTTGACATTGAAATCACGAAGACAACATTTTGCCGCATAGTTTAACGCTCGATCGTGCGAGTTGGCGTAAAGCGCGTGGCGATAACCGACAAGAAAAGCAAGAAGAAGAAGCAGAGGCTGACAAAGTAGCTGTCGATTGCGGTGGTGTGGGCAGTAGCTACTACTTTATTGATAACACGCCATCTGTTGTTGATGATGTTGCTGATAATGATGCTAACAGTGGCTTCGTAGATGCAGATGGCAATAGTGTGGTGGTGTTAAGACGCACAGCAACAACAACAGCAGCAACGCATAACAAAAACAGTAGTAGAAATAACAATAATATTAACTATAACTGTAACAGTAACAGAAATAGCAATAACAATAACAATAAAAATAACACTAAAGAACATTACCATAGTTCAGTACGTGAGCAGACCTCACAACAAGCCGAGGTTGAGCAGCAGCAGCAGCAGCAGCAAAAACAGTCAGAGCTGCTACAGACGGCTGCTACGCCAGTTTGTGGCGATAACAGCAAAAGCGGCGGCGATACCACAAACGCATTCCGTTGGTCTGAGCAATGGACGCCGAACGTGTCCGTAGCCAAGATACGCACGGCCATCTCGTGTATGGCGAATGATTTGCGTGAAATGGAATTTCTATTGCCACAAACAGCGGCAACAAACAGCGACACGGCAAAAACGACGGTCAATGCAGCATTTAAAATGGCAACAACAATGCCATTGAGTATCTCAAACAATAACAACCTTCATAAAAACAATAATAACAGCAGCAGCAACAACAACAGCAGTGGCAATGTCAGCAATAGTAATAAAATTTTGAAGATGACTGCAGACAAGCAACGTAGCAACGACAACGGCAACGGCAACACGCACACAAACAATGGAGGTGGGAGCACTGGCTTAAGTGTGGCAAGACAAGCGCGAAATTCCCAAACAGCGAAGCAGGCGAAAATAAATCCTAATGAATCGATGGAATTAGCATTGAAACCGCCGAATTTAGCCATTTATCGTCACTCGGCGCATGTACGTACAAAAATTAATGGCATCAGCAGCAACAACAACAGCAACGGCGATGCCGCCGGTGGCAATGGTGTTGCCGGCAATTGTGGCAATACGCCGTATCGCAGTAAAATGTCCAAAAAACAATTGAAATTGGCACAGGCTCAGCTGGACAAATTGAATCAGATCAATTTACATCAACACGGTATGCCCAAGGCCTAAACGTAGACCGTAAATTTTCAAAAAAAAAAAAAAAAACACATTCCCGTATGTATGTAAGTGCTTACAGTGAGGCACAAAAATGAGTATACGTTGAATTCTTTTTTTTAAATATTTATTTGAAAGGTTTGTCGTTACGCAATGCCAACCACTCGGCCACCGCTGCTGCATTGTTACGATTTTGTCTGAATCAACCTTGATGATTTTCTTAATCGGGTACAATCTCTGGATCATTAAATAAAAAATCGCCAACTTAATTTGCAACTTCTTTCATTATAAAGAACTTATCTTCTCAATGACGATGCACTTTACTAGTTATAATCACTTGTATAAAACGACTCAATTAGTTTATTCCGCTATACTTTATGTTGTCGCCAACGAGTTCACTTTGTAACTGACTTCTTGGCAGCTGAGTGTCGCCCTTATATAGCAGTCGGCTGCTCGTAGTGTAGAATAATCGAGTTCTTCGATATCAAAGGTTCTCGTTTTATCGTTCTAGAATGTACTAGTTATCGGCTTCTCTCTTTCATCTGACATTCGCCTCGCATTATCGCAACATTATATTAAGCAAAGCAGAATCATCAAATCGGTTTTAAGCCCACTTTCCTGAAGAAAAGGTGTTCCCAATGATAATTTGGGCCGAAAGCTAAATACAAATTTATCTAACAGATGAATCTCTGGTTCGCTTCACGGAAGAAAAAATATGCCCCTTATTAATTTGGGGCAAAAACTACCTCTGTATAAAATTTTATGTAAATCAAACGATAATTGCAATGTTTTTCAAATAACTTGGTTCCAGGTCCACTTGCCGAAAGTTCTCCCCATATCAATTCAGGCAATGAGCTATCGAGGTGCTTAATTTCAAGTGAATCGGACGAATTAAAAACAAGCTCAGTTTTTTCGAACAGTCACAACGGCAATTTCCGCAGCACACCCTGCAAGTAATTGATCTGAACGGTTCCGGCTGTGGGCTAATCCGTCGTTCATGCAATATAAAGCCTTTTATTCAATAAGATATATATAGATTATTAAAAAAAATATTTAAGCTCATAAATCGTTGTAAATATTTAAAAGATGCAGCGTATACTCATTTTTGCTACGCACTGTACAGAATACATATATACGAATGTGTGTGTAGTGGTTTAGTTACTTCCGTAGGTACATTAATTCTACTATATTTATACTTTTATTTAACAATTTGCCGAAATAACAACTACAATAAAAATACTCTTTAGCTCATTTACCCCGCTGCTTCTTCTTTTCGCGCAATCAGTTGTTGAGCGACTTTTGTGCCACAGCTGAAATATAAAAAAAAAAAATTCTATATATATTTTATACAGTATTTATTCTAGTTTCACTTATTCACTTTTATTTTATTTTCCCTTTTTTTATCGCTTTTAGCTCTGTTTTCAGCCGTCGAGCACGGACATCTGGATAAGGCGCGCACCATACTTGAATCTACCGATGTTGATGTAAATAGGTAAGTAGCATTTACAGTTTATAGGCAGGTTCTGAGCTCAAAAAAGACTGCTTTAACTTATCAATTACAAGTGACAGTAACAATGTAAAAATTGGCTGCCTCAACGAATTGGTTAGCGATCATACGATAGATTAGATGGTATAGTTGATATGCACTGCTATACTGTATTCTTCGTGTAACCCCAGTGCCTTTACGAATTTTATAGGAAACAGAGAGTCAACGGATGTCATGTAACTGAGCCTGTAACTCTGCAAGGTATTTTAACCTCCTTATTGCGACCGCTACGCACTCCTTTAACAGATGCACCGATGTTCCCGGCTCGCCCTTCCAAAAATAGCATGTGTATTCGCAGCTGGAGCTAGGATGCCTGAAATGAGTCTTAAATTATTTTTACTGAGCAAGAATTGATTGTGTATAACTTTTGGTATTTTTCTTTTGTCTGTCTAAGGTCTGCTATCTTATGACAATTCCTATTTCTCTGTTCTGCTGCTGTCCTTTCTTTTACTAATTCGTCTACTCTTTTATTTCCTTATATGCCATGCCTATATGTATACTCAGTGCAACTGAGCTTTGTGCTATTTTAAGTGTTGAACCCACATTCCCATACCCTATCCATACAGCTTTTAGTGGTACTCTATCCTAACTCGATTCCAAGATACCTTTTTCCCCTTTTTCCCATAAAGGCATAATATTTCTTTCCAAAATTGATATTTTCAGGCATGTGGTTTCTGTAGTACATTCCGTGGGGGGGTGTTTTCTCTATAACTTACACCTTTCTAGCCAAGATTTCTTTACTTTTTGTTCTATGATAGACTGTTCAAGTAATTTTTGTGTAGCCCAAATTGCTATAGAGGCATATGCAAGTATCTGGAGCTTAGATAGTGCGGTCTTTGTTGAGTTGACTTCAGCTCGTTTTGACCACGCAGCCGCTCCATACTTTATGGTTTTATGGTTTATGGTTTTACTATCGTGTTGTACATCAAGTGAAGGATTTTTGATATCCACTCCAATGATTTTCTTGATAGTCTTCTACCTATCATTAACAGTCTAATAGCTTTGCTAATCAGGTAGTTAACGTGCTTTTGCATGAGATTCTGGAGTTAAAAAGTACTCCTAAGTATTTTCTTTCAGAGCATGGTTTCATCGTGACCCCACCTATTATTAATTCTTTCATTCCATTTATTTTTTTTATTTAATAAAGGAGACTATGACCATATTGGTAGGGTTTATATTGAGACTTACCTTGGAGCAACACCATTTAGCTAGTACCAGCGCTCACGGTATTATATCGCAGAGCGTATTTTGATATTTACCTAAAGTCGCAATAGCCGATTGGCTAGCATTGCGTACTGAAAATCATATTTATATATTAGGTGTAGTAAAAAGTTCGTTCGGTTTTTATTCACGAGATGGCGTTTGCATAACCTTGGATTCATAAAGAAGCCCGATATTTGGGTGCCACACGAACTAACGTAAAAAGACATGATGGACCAAATTTCTATCTGCGAATCGCTGCTTAATCGCAACAAAATCACTTACGAAAACATCGAGCGCAAACGGTTGTGGTCAAAGCTCGTGGAAGCGGCTCAGACGGTGGCCAAGTGGCTGTGTGTCTGGTGGGATTGGCAAGGAATTATCTACTACGAGCTGCTCCCCTATGAGCAAACGCTCAATTCGGCACTCTACTGGTTTGAAGGCAGCACTCATCCAGAAGAGATAATCTTTGATCAACAGAGGCCGAATTGTGTTCCATGAAGACAACACCAGCCCACACACGTCTTTGGTGACGCACCAGAAACTCCAGTAGCTCGGATAGGAGGTCCTAATGCACCCACCTTATAGTCCGGATCTGGCACCAAGTTACTACCATCTCTTCCAGTCCATGGCGAACGCGCTGTATGGTGAAAAGTTGGCTTCCAGAGAGGCCTGTGAAAATTGGCTCTCCGAGTTTTTTACCAATAGGGACGCAGCCTTCTACGAGAGGGGGATAATGAAGTCCATACCTGATAGAAAGGTTTTAAAATAATTAATATCAATTTGGATGAAATTTTAGGCGTAAAATTTTGATATTAACATTTATTTATTATTAAATTACTTATCTTAAACTGCCAATGAAATTGCACTCAGTAAATGTATAGTCGCGGCAATGATTCGAGAAATCCGCATTCCAGAAAGTTTTGTGTCCTTTCCGCTTCGGATTCGGTGCGATGTCATTCTCATGTTTATATCTATTATGTATATTCAGGTCTTTGTATTGGCTTTTATGTCAAATATCAGTTTGTCAATTACAGTGCATATGAATGTGTCTGAATATCCACCAAAATTGGTTTGAGTAGGCGTAGCCTATTAACCATTCCGAAAGGATTGACATATGTCAATTGTCAGAGCATTGATTGTCGGTTGACTACAAAGAAAACATAGAATTGACAAACAAGCCCCAGTATTCAAATTTACAACCGTTTGAGGGAAATCAATCAGTAATCAAAGAGGCTTTTGGGTTAAATGGCAAGAATGATGAGAATTTAATAGAACGAATAGTGGAGATTAAAAATTCTGCACAGCCTTGCATAAGACACTTGGAATTTTAGCTATTTTTATAAAATAATTTATTTTCTTTAATACATATTTTTTTCCTCACTCTACAGCATTAACACCGATGGACTGTCAGCCTTAGATGTTGCCGTGCTGAGCAACAATCGCTCGATGACCAAAATGCTTCTGCAACACGGCGCTATCGAAGGCACACAATGTAAGTGAAATTGATTTACTCGTAATGTTAGTTCACATCCTAAATGTAGGCAACAAAGTTCGTCATACTTAGGACTGTTGATGGTGCACGTTTTTATAATTGATTATTTTTAAATTTATTTTTTTCACATTTGCTCTTATCCAGTATTGGCGACTGCAATAGCCGAGTGGTTAGCAGTGGGTGCTACCATTCGGAAGGTCAGGGTTCGAATCCTGGATAAAAACTGAATTTTCTAATTGCAGTTGCCCTACAACAGGGTATGGCAAGCCACCCGAATGTATTGCAGTCGTGAAATAGAGTATTTTTTATTATATTATTAATTGAACTACTTATTTGTAAGTGAAGATCACTTATTCTCGAAGCTAACATACCTACGCACGATCAATGTTTATGTCAAGCACATACTATCAGGTGTACAACTTTGCTTCCGCCGTTTTCCGATAGGTGGCTATACCGGCTGAGGCTGGTTGAAATACATAGATGATAATGCCTTTAAAGTGAGTGTGGACAGTGCCCAACGAATTGTCATCGCCGTTTCAGTGACAGTTGTTCTTGTTTTCGTATATAAAACCTTCAAAGATGAACAACTAGAAGCATTGCTTGATGAAGATTCGTGCCAAACCCAAGAACAGCTAGCCGAATCGTTGAGAGTGAGTCAGCAAGCCATTTCAATACGTTTCAAGGCCCTGGGCATGATTCAATAACAAGAGCAACATTTCAAAGTCATCCTCTAACACGACAATGCTCGGCCTCACGTCGCAAAAGTGGTCAAAAAGTACCTGGAAACGCTGAAATGGGAAATGGGAAGTCTTGCCCCACCCGCCGTATTCCCCAGATGTCGCCCCTTCTGACTTCCACCTATTCCGTTCGATGGCACACGGCCTGGCAGATCAACATTTTCAATCCTTCGAAGAATTGGAAAAATGGATTGCTTCATGGATAGCGTCAAAAAAGGATTCCTTTTTTCGGGCCGGGATCCGAGAAATGCCGGAAAAATGGGACAAAGTTGTCGCTAGCGAAGGACAATACTTTGAATAATATATCTGTAAACATTTTTTCGCAATAAAGCTTTTAATTTTGGAAAAAAACGGCGGAAGCAAAGTTGTACACCTGATAATTTCTGCCAATCTGTCGGAGAACCATTTCCCTTAAGGATAGCATTATTTATATTGTATTTCGAGAAGCAAAAAGCCACTTATGAACCGAATTTCATAAGATTTTTACGAATATGAGTAAAGAATAGTCTTCATGCTAATCTAAGTAAAAACAAAATATATATGATGTTTTCAAATCAGTCGGTCAGTCCCTGGTTCACTTCCGAAAACCATTTTCCGTATAAATCTTAACAAGAACCATAGAAACAAACGGAAAAATTTGCAACAAAAATTGCCGGGTTGCCTTAGAAATCACAGGAAGCAAACATACAACAAACGTTCTTATATATTTTTAAATATTATTTTATATTGTATATTATTTTTGAAATATATTTTATTTATTTAATTTATATATTTATGTACTTTTTTTTTGTCTCCCACTATTATTTATTTTCGTACTTCTTATTGCCTTTACAGTTTCTACAGATACTATTGGCAGCAAACTGAACGGTTTACTCAAAGATGCCGAGTCTCGCATACAGGATTTGAGTGGCACGTCAGATGGTGGCCTCTGCCAGCCGACATTCGCATCACGACCGTCCATATCCAGTATTATTATTGGTAAGCGACATACGTGCACACTTACATATATGTATATTATACTCGTATTTGTATGATTTCGATTTTCAAGTCGATTTGCAACTATTGTTCAATTTTGAATTGCATACTTATGTAAATATGTGTATGCAGCAAAAAAATTTTAATGAATGCATAATTATACACACAACACTATGTTTGTTGTAGACAAACATATGTACGTGTAGATAATTGCAATAGGTAGCTGGAGCGTGTATGGAATACTGTTGATTTTTTAAGTATTTTAAATATTAAGGAATTTTACGAGAAATAAAATAAAGGGTGTTTTTGTGAACAGTGACTTTCAAGAAGAAATAAAACTTAACTTAGCTTTATTACGAAAATATCCTTATCTGACATTTGACATTTTGTTTTTAAAATGAATTAAAAATGATTTCTGGCAAGTGACCGCCGCGGCTGCTTCCAGCCGACAAACTTGTACCGATCGAAGCAGACACTTAAACGATCATTTGTCGAAACCAGCTAGATCACTACAACTACAACACACATTTGTATATTTGACACGACTTCAGATTTTGTGCTATAAATTTCCCAAAAAAGCATCCTTTTCGTGGTTTCCCTACTTTAAAAAAAAAACAGAAAATTCAAATTTTGTGGCGAATGTTTATTATCATTCGAAAGAAAGAAAGTTTTTTGGTCGTTATTTTTTCAAGTTTATCTCTTCCAACTGTTGGCGGCGGCTCCGTCCCAGATGGTCGATCGCCCATTTCGACTGGTAACTCGCGAATGACACGCCTGATGTTTTGCTCCAAGCCCTGAATCGAAGCGGCGCTGTCCGCATAGACTTTAGACTTTATATATCCCCATGAGAAAAAGTCTAACGGTGTAATATCACACAATCTTAGTGGCCAATCGACCGGGCCAAAACGTAAGATTATCTGCTCGCCAAAGTGTTCTCTCAATAAATCCATTGATTGATGCGATATGCGGCGCCGTCTTGTGAAAGCCAAATGTGCCCGAATCACGAGCTTCATTTTCAGGCTTAAAATATTCGGTTATCATGGTGCCATTGACGTTTTTGGAAGAAATATGGGCCGATGATCCACCGTTGACTAGATGGACAGTAACAATTTTTACCAAACTTTTCCGGATAGTGTTCGTTGAGCTGAAAACCCAGTGATAATTGGTAATTAGAGTGCGCAATTTTGACGTTTACTTGGAGAGAAATTTACAAATTCGTGCTGAGAAAATGTGATTTAGTTGATTGAATTTTTGTCAATAAAACAAAATTGATTCAAAATGAAAATAATTTTAATTCTTTAATATGAATTACATAGCAACAAAATATGTGGTTAAATGTAATGTTGGTTAATTTAACTGAACATTTGGACCAAATATGACTAGATACGAAACTTACTCAAAATCACTCAAATCGCAGCTGAGAGCGTTCCCCCATCTCACATTCTAATGTTGGTAGAAGTGACAGATCGGGGAACATTCAACATCTGATGTGCAAAACGCACTATGCCAATAAAAAAATCCATAGTTTTTGTTTCAAAAGAAATTTGCTTCAGCAGTAAATATTAAAGAAATTATTGTAATTTTATTATTAAAACTTAATATAATTAAATATTGAATTGTTTCTCAATGAAATATTTAAGTGAAATTGCAATTAAAGGCGTCGTTGTTTGTAATAAAATACCCAAAATATACCTAAAAATCCAAAGAAGTAATTTTTCTATCACGGTGGCACTATTCAGAAATGTTATAAAAAATGGGGATTTTTGAGCGCTCTCACGGAATAAAGAGTTTCGTATCTAGTCATCATTGATTTGAACGAGCTCAAAATAACCCGCCAAAGCAAACAGCTGTTCTACAACTTGCTAGTTGATTTTTACTGGATCCTATTCATTGAAAACTCAGTAAATTTCTTTCTCACGGAGAGTAAAACAACTTACTCTCTCAATTTCGCCACTTGCTAGTTTTTGCAGACAATTCTCAACGTACACAGCAAAAACTAAAGAAAAATAACCTGACAGCTTGGCACAATTCACACTCGATCTGTAAAAAAAAGGCAATTGAAAAGAAGTACCTCTACTTGGATCACCCTTTACAAGTGTTAGATTTAGTATTTATTTTACACAAATATACACAAAATCCTCGAAGTCGGAAAGCTTCATCATATAGCCAACTTCAAAGAATTTTTCAGAAATTAAATACCAAAAATTTGATATGGTAGTGAAATGTATAAGGACTTCAGTATGGTCGAAGATAGCTCTTCTATCTTGCTTTAAGTCCAAAAGGTTCCTTGTTGTGTTGCTAAACGATTTTTTCAACAAACACAGCTGTTATACGCACTTTTCAATTATATGTCATCTGTCAACTGCCGCTTTCGTTGTGAGTGACTCAACGAACAATTTCTGCTCGGTTAGATCAATTTGTAATTCTTCAAAATCAACGAATTGAATCTGAGAAGTGTCAAAAGAGGATTGATCCCCTCGGAAATGTTTCTTTAAAGACACCAAAAACAGGGCCTGAAGATGAAAAGGGGCTATACTACGATAACCTCAAGGAAAAAAAATATGTCAAGCCTGGTTAATCCCTTCCATCATCGTTTACATCGACGGCAAAGGCAAACATCCACTTAAGCTCCGAAAACCAGTCGCAAACATAGATGCGTAACGTAATCGACTACAACTAACGCGTTGGAACGCCGTGAATTGCGTGAAAAACAGACAGAAACTAACGAAAGGCAGTGCTGAAATTTTAAGTTTTACTCAATCCGCCATATTCTCCAAACTGCTTCTTCCCACTACTAGATTTTTCGACAGTTGCAAAACGATTTGGGGGATCGGGGGCTCGGGTCTTTTGAAAAGATCGAAGAAAGACTCATTGATTGGATGGAGGAGAGAGAGGGCTCATATTTCAGACATGGATAGAATAATACGTGTATTTTTACTTTTTTAAATAAAAAAATACTTTTTTGAAAAACAAAAAGGTACAGAATTAAATATTTTTGTCAGGTGAGAATTACGAATTTTCTAAGTTTCGTTATATTTATAGGAGCCATTTAACGTTTGCTTCCGGCTTTTTGTGAAATCTAGTAGTAAACTTCAAAGAGGAGCGGAAAGGATGGTTTTCTTAATCGTCTTCGAAAACGAGATCTCTCTTCTCGATTTTATTTTTATTTATTACTATTATTTTTTATTTGAACTAATTGGTTTGATATTAATATGACCGAAGCGTTTAATTAAAGGATTTAATCAAAAATCTGATGAAATCTGTCCTAGACATCCGTGTTTCTCTGTTCTTTGATGCGTGACCTGCATTCTGGCTATCTCAATATACAGTTATTATATGTATTTGTTATTGTGATCATGTCTAAGTGTCTAGCAGTGAATGATCTCAAATAAACCTAAATGAAATATGAGTGTGACCAACTACAAATCTATAGTGGTTCCAAACAATGCGCGGTGGCGTTGCCTGGAATCATTGCTGCGAAATACAATCAAAACGCCGGGCGGCAATCACTCAATTAGTCGGTGATACGAGGGTGGGGAGGAGGATTGCTAAACGCAAACAATCGAAAATCTAAAGCTAGGAATGCAAGCTTCACTAACCACGGCTATTTATTGAATATTTTTCCCACCCACTCGTGCCCATACGCCCCTGCAGCCTCTAGCATTCAATTGTGCATTCATTTGATTCATTTGTTTGATTCATACGCCTAGACATCTGTACATATGTACTCGTATAGTGTGAGTGTATGTTTGCTTATTTGTTTATATGTCTGTTTACATGTGACAGGCAACACTGGCTCCTCCGTGACCGGCTGCACAGGCAACGAAATCGAAAAACAAATCGGCATTTGGGAGCGCCGTGTGAAGGGTTTGCGCCGCCTATTGCTTGGCTGGGATCAGACACGCCCGCCGGATGCCCCCGCCTCTCTGACAGTGGACGTAACGGGCGAGAACTCGATTGCGCTGCAGATACTCGAGCCGTTTGAAGGTGCACTTGGCACAAAATTCAAAGGTAGGTCACAGCCGGGGGGAAATAATGGGAAATAATGAAAGCAAAAGTGGAACACGCCAGCAAAACCCATACGTTTTTAATGCCAGAAGAGAAAGAAAAATGAAATGGAATAAAAAATATCAATTCATGTTGGGCTGTACGGACACTCGGCATCCTTACTAATGCGCCACACTCCGCACGCCATTCCCATTTGGTGTTGACAAATTGTATTGGTATTTGCTCTGTCGTCCACAGCTAAAGCCTTGCGCCAGAATTGATTTGTTTACTTTCAATGTTTTCATTTATACACTTTCTATTTTTCATTGTTTATTTGACTCGCCACAAATTGAACACTGTGTAACCATCCTCATGATACCCCAAACTCCTGCGCTCAACACAAATAATAACAACAATCGCCGCACCCACCAACAGTGCAATGGTCAACTCGTGCCGATTTCAGCAACATTGTGGGCGAACGCGAATTGGTCGATTGGACAAGTTTTCACGGCAATATGGGCACACAGTGTCAGATTGGCGGCTTGACACAAGGACGTCGCTACTTCGTAAGGGCCGCATGTGGCAACGTGAAGGGCTGGGGTCCTTATAAAACATCAGTGCCAGCCAGCGTTGTACCATCGAGTAAGTAGAGTATTGGCATGTCATATCACATGCCATTTTAATTTAAATTTTGTAAGTGCTTATTCTATTATCTTTGCATTCTCCCCTCACCCATACTAGGTTGGCGTGACTTCAATAACCGTGAAGATCGATATGTTGGCCGCCAACGTGTTTTGGACAATCTTTTCACGGCAGTTCGTTTGGCGCGACCGGCAGACGTTTCGGAGCTAACTCTGGATGTGGGCTCGGCCCAGCGACGTAATCCGAAAAAGAAGACTACCATAAAGCAATTATTTTCGGTAGCATCGAAATTTCAAAAGCATCTGAGACGGTAAGTTAATTGCTAAGCTCAAAGTAGTGGAGTTTTCTTGTTAGAGGCGACATTTTGATACAATTTAGCGGTGTTTTCAAAAAGAGAAACCCACAGAAAGAATCAGCTGGGAATTCATCCTTGACGCCAATGTCTTGCTACAACAATGTAGTCTCCGTCTAAATGAGGATTCAGGCCAGACTAGTCACTGTCGGGTGTGAACTTATTGGCTCATACGTTGAGTATATCGAAGCCAACTTTAGATAAGTTGGAGTTAAGCCTATAAAAATATTTAGACCTTAGTTGGGCTGGGATTGCTCGGATCTTAGGGCGCAGCTCTTACCTAAGGCTGATTGGACTCAGTATAGTCTACTCTTTCCTTTCTGATGTACCTCGGGGCAGCTCTACTTCGAGCAGGTATCTGCAGCAGCATTAAGCTTCTGAAACCAGAGTTTCGCAGTATACTTCGAGGCAAAATTTCGATAAAAATGTAGCTACATCATCCAGGGGTATAAATGGTTCGCATCGTGAGGCTGCCGTTAGCCTAATTTCATGATAACCGCTGGAGGTCTCTGTGGTGGCTAGAAAGTCTAAGAACTAGAAATGTATTGTAGAATTGTATGTCCTTAACAAGTATATCCCTTACTTAAATTTAATAGCGAGACTGACAATTCTATTTAAACTGCGCAGAATTTCCGCCTGAAGTTATAATGTGTCTTCTTTATTTTCATTCCAGCGGCATCTACTTGGCGAGCATTGTTTATTGCGAGGATAAAGTGCTGGTGACCAGTGAAGACTTCTTGCCTGTCATCGAGATCGACGAAACGTATCCAAGTAGTTTGTACAGCGACTATCACTGGCTCATGAAGGTAAGCTTAAATTAATAAGACTATCTTTGTTTGTATTCATGACCTTCTGCTTTCATAGGTTGCTTGCACTTGGGATGATGTAAAATCGCTGCGTACCGACATGGAGCGTAACTTAACATCCGCCGTGCATTTTCGTACAAAACTCCTCTCGGCAATTTGCCAAATGCAATCGACGCTCGGGCTCAACGACTTGGGACAGCTTTTCTACAAGCCTCTACGTGATTCTCACGGCACTGTTGTGCTATCCTGCATACAGTCCGTGAAGAGCCAGAAAATTGTCTCGATACTCAACTCCCGCTGGTTGCCGTTGAATAAATTGCAAAAGAAAATCGTGGCAGTGCTGGAGGATTACAACATAAATGAGATGTTGATTTCTTCCATAAGCGAGCAGATACACTACCATCAGGCGTCAACGCAACGTCTGAGTCCAGGCCTCTATTTGGGCTATCTGAAGATGCAGTGTTCCATGGATCAAATACAGGTTGTGGTGCCCGTGAAGACACCCAATGTGCTGCCGCATTGCAAAGTGCGTGACAATAGTCACATCACGGCCGACGAGTGGCAGATACTGAAGCGCAAAAATGCCACAAACTCCGGCAGCCGTAGCAATAGTCCGCTAAATATGGCGCTAGAACTCAACACAAACTCTGAAGAGACCACCGAGGGCCAGCGACTATTTCTCTACGACCTCACTAATGCGGCGCATAAGCTATTCACCTACATGAATATCAAGCCGGAAGATGCCAAAACGCATCGTCTTTATGACATCGAAGTTATTGAACATAGCAAAGATATTAGTTTTCTGATTATCTGTCCCGCAGTTGAGCTTACCTGTGCCGTGCCCGGACAGTCGGAGTTGCTGTTGCAGCGTGATGATCTCGCCAGCCTCAGCATACAAGCCTTCGAGATGATACACCTGCGTACCTATCAGCTCGGCATCATTCAAAAGTATGCACGCCTATCATGCATTTTGGAACTGGACACTGCTTTAGCCACGCATTCGCAACGGGAGGCCTTCTCTACCAGCGAACTGCAAACGGCGAAAGAGCGCTTAGCCAAACTGCACGAGCTCTCGGCCAACTTGAATGCCGTATGGAAGAGCGTTCGCTGGTTGATGGATGTGATTGCGTTTGCGCGCGACAAAAACACACAGTCCTCGGAAATAATGAAAGCCATACTTGTCTATGGCAGCAGAAAGGGCAATTCCAGGGAGGGCCGCACTGCCGATAAACAATTGTTGCAACCGCCTACACGCGATGCAAAATACACAAAGAGTTCCGGGCGTGGTAGCTGGCCTGGACCCGGCGCCAATTCGCAGGGCTCCAGCAGTAACTGCCTGGCAGCCGAACATTCTAAATCCGAACAGAATTTAGGGCGCAGTGCGATAACACCCACCTCCTGTGCCAGCTTGATGCCACCACAGTCCGCCGTGAAATCACACAGTAGTAGCGATTCGCGAAAGACCGTTAGTTCTACAGGTACGCAGCAGTTACTGCAAGTTGGTATGGGCGGTTACACCAGCTCGGATGTCTCGCTACGTAAGAACAGTGGTGACTCAATCACCTCCTCCCAGTATACAACGCGCAGTTACTATTCTGGAGCAGAGTCAGCACTGGGCAGTAACAACGAATTGGGCCACATATTTGCCATACCACCATCTCGCTCCGACGATACACTAGCGCAAGGCAGTCTGGATGCCACAAAACGTTCACAATCCGCCGCAACGCATCGCAAACGCACCAGCTCCAACATCAACCAGCAAGTGACAACGCCAACATCTTTAGCCACCACGACACACTGCTCCAGTTCGGCGCCCTACCTACACACCGGCTCGAATCTCTCGCTGAAAAACTCCTCCAGCTCCGATTATGACATTAAAACGTCCAAGCTCAGCACTCACGCTACAATCGAACAATGTATTGGTGGCAAAGTGAAGGCTGCATCTAGCGCAAATCTGCGTGATGGCGCGCTTTACTTAAAGCCAACACATACCGCCGTGCTATCAGCAGGCGTTAAACCTCTCTGCGCCGAAGAGACGACCACTGGCGCTGCTTCGACAACTACAACAGCAAAAACTGCCTCCATAAAAAGTCTGTCGCGCCAGAGTAGCGAAGAAGATACCGCAAGTGGATCTAGTCACACCTCAGAACAAGCAACTAGTGTCGCTGGCATCAACACCAGCGCACCCAGCTCAGGTATTATACAAGTTTACACCGCCTACAATACGGGTTTGGCGAGTGGCACAAGCCTCAAGCTGCATGTCACGCCCAAAACAACAGCACGCGAAGTAATCAATTTGGTGGTGAAACAATTGAATATGGCCGCAGTGTTGAAGGGCAATAACGGACCCATCTATACGGCCGACATGCTAGACAACTTCTGTTTGGTTGCGGTGATTGGCGCACGTGAGCGTTGTTTGCGTGATGACTTCAAGCCACTACAACTACAGAATCCTTGGCGCAAAGGTCGTTTATATGTACGGCAGAAGCACGAACTGCTGGCGGCCATCGAACACGCAAATCGCAAATCGCAGCTAATATGAGCTAAATGAATGAAAGCCGTTAGATGTGGTAATGAGACGAGGGCAGTGTAATGAAGTTAGTGGAATTATTTTTATGGCGTGAAGGACATTTAAAATTAGTTGGAAATTTCCTACCTTAGTTTTAGCACACCCTCGACTATCTGATCTAACGAACTTTGTGCTCATTATATATCCCAGCCAAACGGCATAAGCTAAATTTAAAGTACACCAGCGGAAATGAGGCGTGCTCTAATCGATCAATTCGAAAATTCAGCTTAATGACAAGGTAGCTAGCTCAATGGAATATGTCGAAAGAGTTGTTGTGCGTCAATTTTCAGTCAGCCAACAAGTGCGGGCCTCTATGTTTACCCACTTTACTGAAAAACCCCGAAAATTAATTTTTTCAAAGCTCATTGCAGTTGTATCCTCCATTAGTACGGGTCATCTTATACTTATAAATGGGCTGTATGATGGAAAACTGTTCAACGTTCGGTTCGAGCGCACAGCTTTCCAAGCCGGATAACAACTCCCACTATATCCCAACGACTTCTTTCAGTACTAAATACGTTTTAGCTCTCTTAATCTCACTATAAGTCATCTAATGACAGTCTGTGAATATTGCAGTTGAGGGTCAGCTTTCTTTTGACGATGAAATAGCGAATAGGGAAATCTTTTGTAGGAGTGTAATCTATGATTCTTTGAGGAATACTCTTTTAATATGATCAGCCACAAATGTCAAACGGGAAATACTAAAATCGTAACATAAAAACTGAAGTTTGGAAAAGCTCATTAATTAAATCCCCTACCACCCAACCACCTACCCACCCAGAAGTTTTAAGTGCATTAATACACAATCCATTCCCGAATTAGACTGATTCACGCAAAAAATATATTATATTATATTTAAACATTTTTTTTATATCTCATATACATACATATACAAATGTTTTATCCAGATGAGTTTACTCTATTGGCCAATAAATGAAAAAAATTCGAAAAATTTAGTAGCCGATTACCTTAAGATATCAGCAATTTAAAAAGTATACCCCGTTAATTTTTCAATTAGAAAGGAGTAGGCAAAACTCAACAATCAGACTAAATAAGTTATACGAAAGGATTTTCAATTACTATACGGAAAAAATATATGTATATTGTATTAAAAAAGAAGATTGTCTATATGTAATAGTGTGTAATATAGTCTGCGTATAATATTGTTTGGCGCAATGAAAATATGTATATGTGTGTATAAGTCAAAGGCTGCCCCATTGGGTTTAATCGGGTTTAGAAACTAACGAAGGTTCGTTCATATTAGTAATAATTTTATTAGAATATATAAAAAAAATTCTATACAATAAGCATAAAGAGGTTCTGGTAATTCAGAACCGTAACGAAACACACCAATATCACAAATCCTAATTGTAAGCCATGAATAAAACTCTTCATATGTATGTCTGTACGTACGTTGTTATGTATTTAGTTACATGTATACAACTGAATTTTAGGCTAAAAACACTTTATTGTATGTATTTTGTTAGAATGTTAGAATGAATATAGTTTTACATATAAAAATATTGTAGGAAAATCAAAAGCACTGGCAAACTGCTAAATTATATTAACTAAATGTGTGTTTGTATGTGAGTTGCTAAACAAAATTGTGTATTTAATGTTTTTTGAGTGTACAATTTTTTGTCATATTGCAACGTATTGTATATATATATGTATATATATACTTTGTATGTATGTTTTGGCACATAAAATACATAAAAAAACTTTTAAATTTATAAATGTACTGCAATTTGTACGTGCAAATGCTTTAACTATATATAAATATATAGATATATGTGCATGTATGTATGTCTATTTTTAAATGTATTTACATAAGTATTATATTTATATTGTACATATGTGTATCGTTTTTTTATAATACACATATGAATAAAAATTGAATTAAAACCTAAAGAAATAGCCGATGATGGAGTTTTGTTGTTTTTGCAATAACATTAAATGTTTAGAAAAGTGCTCAAAATAAATTTACAATTTGTTAAGAAAATAAGGTTGAATTATTACTACGTATGTATGTTTGCATGTGTTAGAATTTAATTATCATACATAATGATCGTTTGTAGTTCATACATATAAATATGTATAATATTTGCACCATTTAATTTTTTACAAAAAAAAAAAATAATTATATTTACGTTTTGAAATTGAAAAATAAAATAGCATTAATTTCAAATATAAAAACTATTCTTTGTGTTTGTTTGTTTTCTCACACTTTTTGCAATAATAGAAGTCTTATGATGAAATCTTGTTGTTAAACGTAAGAAAAGTGAATAAATAAATTTCAATGATATATGTACATATAAAAAGATTAAATACTATGTATAAATGTAGATAAATAAATAAAGCATCTTATTAAACGATGCTAAGTTGTGGAAAAAGAGGTAAATGAAAATATGAAGAAAGCATTCGTAAAAATATAGGAAATTATAAAACGATGCACAGTATTGACTTGCATTCGCATACATAGTAGAATAAAGTACCATTAAAATTTATTAATATTTTTTTAATCATTTTATCCGTCCGTCCGTTTGTACTAGAGCGAGCCATTGTAGCATATATACGACCAAATTTTTCCCATAAAGATTTTATGTCATAAATTTGCTAAAAAAAAAAACAAAATTAGGAACGTGAGCTTTGGTATTTGCGCTCATATCATGGCGTACATGTTGGTGAAGGAAACGGATCGTAAACTGATTTTTTCAGTTAAGACACTTTGGGCAAAACACCGTTAAAAATCATCTAAAAGCGTGAGATTTAGAACTTAACATTCGTATCTACAAATAAATATTATTGTATCATCGAAAATTATCGAAATCGGAAAATTTTCAGATGTGAGAAATAATATTAAATAAATAATATTTATATTCTTAATTTGATATGTTTTAGTTCGAATTATTTTCATTTCGTTTTGTTTTATTTTACTTTATTTTAATTTCTTATTTTCTTATATTATTTGTCTCTTTTGCATTTTATAACTTTTATAAATGTTTTTCATTATGTATTATTTATGTATCTAAAAATTTTGTTTAATTTAATTTTTTAATTATATTTTATTTCAATTATTTTATTTTGTTTTTGTTATTTCCTTTCCTTATGTTCCAGGCTCTTTTTTATTTTTTTTATTATTTTGTGTAATATTAGTTTATTTATTTTTTTTTCTTTTCAACTGTTTTATATATTTTTTATTGTATTTAGTTTTATTAAATTTTGTTTTAATTAATTTTACTTTATTTAATTTTTTATTATCCTTTATTTTATTTTACTTTATTTTATTTCAATATATTTAATTTCTTTTATTCAACTTTATATCTCTTTTTTTCATTTGAAAATTTTTTATTGTCTTAAACTTTATTTTTTTCCGTTATTTTATTTCAATTTTTTTTATTTAATATTATTTTTCTTTTTTAATTTATAGTTTTTTTATGTATTTGGTTATGGATTTGCTTGAATTTTATTCATTTAATTAATTTTTTTTTTAATTTATTCTTAATTTTCCTTTATTTCATTTAATTTATTCTTTATTTTCCTTTATTTTATTCTTTATTTTCCTTTATTTTATTTTATTTATTTTACTTTATTTTATTTTATTTCAATTTATTTAAGTTTTTATCTTAATTTATAATTTTTTTTTAATTTATTCTTTATTTTCCTTTATTTTATTTTATTTTACTTTATTTTATTTTAATTTATTAAATTTTTTTATTTAACTTTATATCTTCATTTATAATTTTTTTATTGTATTTTACTTTATTAACTTAATTTAATTTAGTTTTAATTTATTTTGTTTTATTTATTTTTATTTCTTTTTTATATTTTTATTTAACATTATTTTTCTTTTTTAATTTATAATTTTTTTTATTGTATTTTATTTCATTAAATTTTGCTTTATTTTATTTTTTTGAATTTGTTTTATTTCATTTCATTTAATTTATTCGTTATTTTATTTTATTTTTTATTATTTTTTATTTTCTTTTTTATTTAATATTATCTTAACTTAACTTACTTATTATTTGTTTCTTATTCTTCATTATTTTAGTTAGTTTTATTTTGTTCTTTTTCGTAAAATCATGACCTTAAATAAAAATAAAATGGATTCTTTTCAAGGGAAAACGAAAAATACTAAATTTACTTCAAAATCAAAAATGACTATGAGAATATTTTCATGAAAAACAGATATTCACTTTAACAAAAAGGAATTAAAAATTCCAACCAAAAATAAGCTGCAGCGGAATCAATAAAAACAAAACCTAAAATAGCCAACTAGAGATTTATGAAAAATAATCAAAAGCTTTAACTTAAAAGGTACACATAAATTATAAAGATGGAATAATCAAAAAAAATAGATTCTTTAAAAAATGTCAATTCATTGACATATTTACAATTATCCAATAAACGACAAATACAGCCCTCAAATAGTTCCAGGACCGTAAATTCATTTATTCGGGTGGGCCTTTTCTTCATTTATAATTTAATTTTTAATACAAATGTACATATATATGCGTATTTGAGTATTTTTAATTCTATATCATTAGTTAAACAAATTGCAATTACAATTCCTAAATAAAGACAACGAACTATATTTAATATTCAATTTATTTAAGCCGAAAAAAATTATCATTAATAAAAACAATTATTTTCTCTCCGGTAATAGTCTTGAAGAGGCGTGTAAAATGTATAAATTTTATAAAATCAAAGCTTAGCTTTCGGGGTGTTAAAAATAGCTTATATGTATGTATATATTTTTCCATATTAATTTCTCCTCCATATAATATAATATGTATTTATGTACGCATATGCCAGCCAAACCGTCCATTTTGGTTTAAAAAGATAATTAAGATATTTTTTGGAACTGATGCAAAGGAGGATTTTAGTTTATGAAAATTAAAAATAAGTATTTCTGACCGAAAATACTTGCTGGAACTGCTAGTAATGAAATGTGGGAGTAAATTTTACAAAATTAATTGTTAATAAATGTATAAGTGTTTTTAAATATGTTAGTTTACAAAATTGAAGTAAATAATTTAAGTATGAGAAGAGAAATATTAAATTAAGAAATCTATTTTTTCTGTGTTTCATAATTTGATGAGATTATGAAAAAATTAAATTACATTAAAATGGTAAAAAAATGCTTAGGATGGCAGCATTAATCAGTTGAAAAGCTCAGCTTGATTATTCTTTTACAGTTATCGATTTTCTGTTCAGCTATCGATTTTCTGTATCCAAGTAACTGCTCCGATTAATAGTACGATTAGTTATCGAATTTCAAAAATTATCCGAACACTGCTGGACGACATGATTAAAAATAATAATACTCGGTTACAACATTAATTTTCTCTTTTTAAATTCTATTTTTACAAATATTAAATAGAACCAAAATTCTTAAGTGAAGTGATTTATATGTTCACCAAAAAGAATAAAAAATAATAAAATAATCGAAATACATATTACATGTATATATACACTGTCGTTTTAAATATGTGATTTTCTAGAAGACACAAAGCGCACTTAATTTATATTATGGCCCAGTTTTTAGAAAATGATTTCGGACAAGCGACCGCCGCGACTGGCTCGTACAGATTTCAGCCAACTATACGCTTGCAAGGTATTAATCGTCTCGGGTTTATTTGCGTTAGACAAGCGACCTCGCCTAACCGCACAAAATATAGTACAGGCGTTGAAACGCACTATCTTGATGGCCACTTCACCGGCCCACGACGCAAGAAAAAGCGTTAGTCAAAAGTTTTCTTCAAATAAATTGATTGTTTCGTTGGCAGTATGGCATGTAGCGCCGTCTTGTTGAAACCGAAGATCGCCCATATCAACAACCTCCAATTCAGGTACGAAAGAGTAATTAGTCACGGCTCTATTGCGTTCCCCACAAGTTCACAAATTACGACACGACTTAATTTTTTGAATAAATATAGACCAATGATTCCCCTTGCCCAAAAAGCACATTAAACACAATGACTTTTTGGGGTTGTGAAGATGTCTAAGCAATGGCTTGTGGATTATCTTCATTCCAAATTTTGTTTATTAATTTTGTTTTTGCTTATTAATCTCATTCTCTCATCTCATTCAACTAAAAACGTGAGCTACATCGCTGAACAGAATTTTCTTTTGAAAATCGTAATCGGTTGTCATCTCATTTCGGACCCATTGAACAAACGTGCGACGGGATTGATGGTTGTTCGGCTTCATTTCTTACTGGATTTGGACGTTGTAAGCCCGGAAACCAGTATGCTTCCAAATAACCATCCATAAATATATGGGGACAGCGTCAATTGTTACGATCGATGACGTATGGAATCATTAGGGGCTTCACCGATACTCTGCTTCACAGCAATACCGTCTTCGGTAAGGACTAGAGTATACGTGATGTGTGATACTTTCCTGGGCGATTATATCGACCGAATATTGGACGCACTGGTAAAAAATTTGCACGATTTGCCAACTCCGAAAAGAGTATTGCCTAAAAAGACACCCTTCATAATTGGTGCTTTAAGTCCGTTTTTTTTTTCATTTTGATAAAGTCAAAAATAATCGAAAATACGAAACTATCGATTAATATTGCGTAATCAATTGTAATTTATTTTTGTTCTTATTTTCA